TGTATGGTTTATTACTTTAATAAATGCTTTGTCTTACATTTTTGTTGCTTTGCTTTCCTTGGATACATACCATATTTTATTGAGGCCAGAATTAAAGTATAGGGTTAGTGAAAAGTTGCGCAACGGTTATATATCTCAGAAGTTATTAGACTTAAATTATTACTAAGTAAACGAATTTTCGAAAAATGGCGAAATTCAGATGAGAAACTCACAGGAGTAACTCCCTGATCCACTTAACCAAGTAGGAAATTAATTAATTTATAAACTTAACCTAGGCCAAGAAGTGTACCTATCATATATATAAAAAAAATGAAAAAACTAAAAGTAATATAAGCAAGTAATTTAGAAAAACTTATATAAATAAATAAATAAAAAGCTCTATATATTGCAGAAAACAAACTATAAACTATGCATATATGCGTTGCTAAATGTAATTTTTATATTTTCGTTTAAAATTGGAGACAGACAATGCCTGGAATGCGTCTAAGAGCGAGTTAAAAAGTCGGGCAATGTTAAAGCTAAAACTACGCTCAAACATTATCGTCCTAAGAAATGGTGGAGCCATCATTATTCTAAACCTGATATTTAAATTATGCACATGTGTTCTGAATACAAATCGTCTGTACATAGGGCATGTGAAATTTATAATTTTATAAAAAAAAGCAAGCAGCTAAGCCACCCTGTTCCGAAGAGTTTGTGTCAAATTGGCTGGTACTTCTTTATTCCATGAATAAGTCTAAGACATGAATTTTAAATTAACTGAATTTTTCTTTTTTCAGAACTGTTTAAACAGTTTGTGTAAACAACATCACAGTAATTTAATAATGATAGTACAAGCGAGTCGCAAAGTAAAGTCTTTACCTTTTTTGATATAAAGTGATGATTACTATATATATGTTTTATTCTGACATAAGCTCTTCGACAACAACTATTTATATGAGCGGTAAATCTTAAAAGTAACCAAACGCATATCCAACCGAGTGAGTGAAAATTTACATTTTTATTTTAAAATTAATAAAATATAACACAATTTGTTAATAAATATATTTTGTAATCCACAAGAGAATATTTACCAACAAGAACCAACCTAGTAGGATAATTGTGTTTCTTTAGATAGTGTGAGAGTTTCAAAGCCGAGTGAGATTCGTTTTGGTTTGAATTAACATATAAATAATGTTACCAGAGAAACCTCTGGAACATATATTGACAATATCTTTAGTTCTTTTTCATATTAGGGCCCCCAAACTTCTTTTCTTCCCTGCCAACTGCCACTTAGTGAAATATATAAATCAATTAAGACAAAATAAAATATATTTTAATAATGAAAATATACACACTTTTAGGCATTTTTTGATAAATAATAGTATTTGTGAAATATATAGAGACTAATTCTTCTTATATTATTTTAGTATCTCTTTTCCGTTAAAAGAGACGTGTACCAAGCAGAAACGTAGATTTTCTTCATTATAAGCAAAGTAAAAATAAATATTTAATAGAAATATATAACAAGAAAAAAGAATACGAAAAATTAATTTCGCAGAATGAAAAAAATAAAAATGGAAATAGAATAAAAACAGCTAAAAAACAAATCAAAAGTTATGTGGGCCATATATAATGAGGTTACCAAAAAACGTGAATTTAAATAATCTAGTTATATATAGTGACGACTCTGATGTTAGTGACCCACAATCTGTGGTAAATCTGTTTGTCTATTTTTTTTAAAGAAAACAATATGCCAAATAAGTCTTTAAATAGCGATGTGAAGCAGAGGTGTGCTGTAAACTCCATGTTTGTGAGTGAAATCGACACTTTGGAGGTCCTTAAAATTGCACAAAATTTCGAACCTAAATACTCATCGGGACTGGATGAGTTTCCCACTAGTGTCCTAAAAAAGTGGCTGATTGCATCGTACCTACTCAGTGACATTATAAATAAATGTTTAGAGTTCGGCGTTTTTCCAAACAGTTTGAACGGGGCAAAAAACACTTAAATAATTACCGACCTGCATCTGTTTTGCCTGCATTATCAAAGGTTTTCGAAAGAGTCTTGTATGACAGATTTTTCGGTTATTTAAGAAGTCAAAAATTGCATAAGCCAACATATCGTTTATTTCTTATAATCAGGACAGAAGGGAGAAGGTGGTCAATATGTTTTCTATTTGTTAAAGGCTTTCGACACAATAGACCACCTTCAACCATGTTCAACAAGTGTGCCTCAGAGCTAGCTCCGGACACTCTCTGGAATTCTTTCTGTCTGAACGACCACACTCAAGGGGTCAATATTGGGTCTGCTATTAATAATTATTTATATTAATGAAATGTCCGAATCCGTAAAGGGTCAGGGACTATAAGTTCTACAACAGCTGACGAGTTATCAAATAAATGTAGTAGGAGTGTAGAGAGGACGACATCATGGTGTTCAGAAAACAATTGCACTAAATGCGAAAAAAACGGGCGTTATTATATTTAATAAGCGTATACAATTAAGTGAGTCTCTGTTGATAAGGTTATATAATATATCGCCACCAAACCTAGAATATACAACATTTTTAGGTCTTTATATCGGTAATACTTTATACTAGATAAGATAAGATAACTACTAAATCAAGTGCCTCTAGTAGCACTGATGGTCTCCTATATTTCTCCTGTTCAATCGCCATTATATTATAGATTGGTGGTGTATTTTATAAAACAAAAGCAGATACTAAGGTGCACCCTGAATCTGCCTTTTCAGACGTCATGTAGAGGTCATTTTCTAGAAAATCGAATGATTTCATTACCATCTTTATATACAGTTTCTCCCACTTAAGAACTATACACAATTGTAAAATCTTTCTTTATGGTTCGATTTTGATAACTTTTTAAAGTCATGACTAGCTGAGACTATTTAAGAAAAGAGGGAGAAGAGAGAAATACTATTATTGATTTAAAAAATTATAAGTTGGCAACGAATTCTTATTCAGGAGTACTTAGAACTAAGAAATTGTTATAATGTTTCAATACAGAGTGTAAAATCTTTGATTACGGTTTGATTTTGAAAATTTTGGATAGTTAGTGACAACGAATTCGCGGGAGCCTCGCTTAAGCATTACTCCTGTAGAATGTTTGTTTATGTGCCAATTTTGATAATTTTGATAAAGATTTTCTTAAAATGAAAGATGATTAGAGAGGATTACATATGAACTAAGCAGATTTTGCAACGCTATATTTTTTTAATTAAAAAGTATTTTTGATTTTCATCTAATGAAAATAACAGAAATATCAAAATTGATGGACGTGGGCATACTGTTTCCTTTGTAAATCCAAGTTTGCTATGAAGAAGTGAATATTCGATTCTCAAATTCACAAGCTAATTTATATTTTAATTTTGGCTACATTATACCTTTTGAATAATAAGATTTATTAATGCCGTTCTCTTAAGACTATACTAAAAAATAAATGTCCCTTATAAAGACTCTTTTATCATTATTTTTGCAATTTGTATAATTAAAGTTTGTAAGATCATAAAAATCGTTGACAATAATTATTTTTTGAAAACATTAAAAACTTTGCTCATTTGTTACTTCCACGTAATCCTGAATACAAATCTGTTGTTATTTGCAATTTGGAAAAATCTCTAAAAGTACTTCTCGATTTTCCGCTTGAAAAAACTCTGTCAATTAGCCATGTCTTTAGTAGATGCAATATGAAAAACCGTTTCATTTCTCTTTAGTAAGATCTATAGGGCAAAAAAGAATTATCAAAATTGAGCTATAAACAAACATTCTACAGCAGTAATGATTAAACGAACTAGTTAGGTTTTATGTAGTCCTGAATAGGAATTCGTCGACACTTTATTCTTAAAGAAATTCCTGATAGCCCTTCTCGATATTTGACATCAAAAATTAGTCCCAATTAGCCACAAATTTAGGTTGATGAAAAAAAAAAAAACAACTTTTTAGTGCGTTTTTGAGAGATTTATCCAACAAAAACAAAGTTATTAGAATCAAACCGTAATCAAAGATTTTACAAGGGATTAACAGCCTCAAGTCGGACGTAAACGATATCCAAATATTGAATTCTCTAATAGTACTTGTCTCTCTTTTTTTAATAAGTCCCAGTTGGCTATGACTTTAAGTTGAAGCAATAAGCAAAACAAGGTTTTAGTGCTACAGATCAGAGATCTCAGAGATCTATCAGAGATCTATCCAACAGAAAGAAATCAAAATCGATCCATAAACCAATATTTCACAAGGGCGTGCAGTGAGATACATTGTATATATCGTGAACTTTGTGAGAAATAGCAATCAACTTTTTCTTGATAAAAGCCAGGTTAATAGTCCTAGGATGTCTACCAGTCATGTCTACTTTATATGAAAAAACACCAAAATGTTATGCTATCTGAATTTACAATACACTGCCCGATAATATTAAAACCATAACATCCATAAAAAAAAAAATTAAAGATTATTTTGTAAATAATTGATCTTATAGTATAGAAGAATATCTTAAAAAATAATAATAGCATTCTAAGGATTTATATTTATTTTTTATTGTTTTTTTCGACTACTAATCAAGTAATGTATATTTTATATTATGTTACCATATTGTGTGAAATATGTGTATTGTCGCCAAATGTTATATAGTTTTTTATTGAAGGATTGCAGGATGTGTAGGATTATATAACCATTCTATTCTATTATTTATTATGTTTATTTTCTATTTGTGTTTACGTTCACTTAAATAATAATATAATCTTCCGGTACCAGTCCGTTTTCAGTTGTTGGTGTGTTCTTTCTTATACATAACATATCTAGGAAAAGGGATGGTTCTGTCTTTTTCTACTTTTAAAGTGAGAGTTCAGAGACCATTAATATTTTTTTCCGAAATGGAGGTATAATGTCGACCAAATAACGCTTTAAAGGGGAGACTCAAATTGTAATGCGCAGTAACCGTGAAATTTAAAATTTCTCTTCGACTGTCAAGCGTGACATTATCAATAATCGTGTATTCTTGTTCCAGGTTCCGCTAAAAAGAGGGATACGATCCAAGTGACGCAGGTGCTGACTCCCAACAAGCTATCGCCCAGGAATCATCAGAACCTGAACGAAAGTAGGTGCATTGAAATAGATCATTTTATCGTTTTAGTTTTGAGAAATACGGGCAGTTTCCGGCTTGAACTAACGGTAAATCGGTTGCTGATTTTATCCGATTTGCGTGTGTTTATAGGCGCAATCTTAATTATTATTAATAACGGCTCGGCAATTATTATAAGCGCGTAGGCGTGCGAAATTGTGCATACCGGTTAAAGATTTATTGATTTGCAGCGGGCGAGTCGTTTTATTCAATAACGTCGACTTGGCGCGCTCGTTTTTACTCACGGCAATATTGATTTTATCTATTCAAAACATTTTGCGAACGTATAGTCTGTCTTAGTCTTCATCCTGTTGGCTTTTGACGAACCCTCCCAAATAAACCTTTAACCATGTCATTACCTATTGTTATTGGGTAAATCTATTAGCAAAAAAATTGTTACTTGAGTGACAAGGCAAGGGTCGGCCAGGTATATTTCTTTCTTTCTGAAAGATTTCTTGAGTTTTGACCAAAACAGGTTGTGAAAAATGTGTATGAAACTTTAAAAGAGTCCTGTCTACTTACAAAAACGTAAATATCGTCGATAAGGATATTATTAATATATTCTTAATAGAAAATTGAAGAAAAGGAATAAACGTTTACAAACTCACCTTATAGAGAATTGTGATCAGGACCTGATAAGAAGGAAAATATATTGTCTTCATCAAAGCGAAGTTGTTCCTACCTTGGATAAACTGAAAAAGAAGCTAGAAGGAAGATGAAACCAATATGCCAGTCGTGCTACCCTCCATAGAATTGTTTCTAAAATGGGATTTAAGTACCTCAAAATAGACAAAAGTAGTTATGGAGTCACACAGATTACAGATTACGCACTTGGAAATTTAATTACATTCAGCAATTAAAAAATATAGATTAGACCACAGATCCATAATTTACCTTGATAAAAACTAGTTCGTTTCAGACGACATTGTTGATTCCACTCAGACGAAAGCACCTTCAAGTAAAGGAAAACGCATCATACATAATACTGCTTGCTGTGATCTTCAAAGAATATTACGGATTCTAGCTTGGATTATCATGAGGGTACAAGTGCCACACTTTTTGAAAATGGATTTTAAATGAATCTTTTAAAAAATATTTCCAATAACAGTGTTATTGCTGTGTATAACTCGAGCTGCCAAAGCCGTCTGCTACACATAGTCTCATTAAGTTCAAAAATTGAAATCCAGGAATTTTTGCTAGAAAATGATATTTATTTTGAATTCAGTTACAAAAAAGCGAAACTTTTGGAAGTCCTAAATTCAAATGCAATTAAAAAACAGTGTGTATGCGATAATTCGACTGAACAGGCTGAGCATACAGTTTTACATCTTACGAATGTTTAACCCCATAGAGTATTTGTGGAACCAAGTGAAATCAAAGGTCAGAACAGAAAATGTTACTCCTACTTTAAGTCTCAGTGCTATAAATTTGTTAAAAAATGTAATTAATAACATTCCAATTGAAAGGTGTTAAAATTCAGTACTGCACGTTATAAAAATTGAGGACTCATTTTTCTATACAATACAACGTAAATACTATTATAATTAATCTCAATGACGATTTTGATAGTGAAACATAATTAGATTTAGACATATAAAAATGTAATTATGTATAGATATTCCTAGCTATGAACTTATTGTACAATTTAATGTCATAAATAAACAAAAAAAAATTCAAAAATCTTTTTCTCTAATGTTCTGTCCTTTAATCCCTACTGGACCAGAGTTTTATTGCCATTTATAGGTAGGTAACTTCCATAATTGTGGGCAAAAGCCAGCACGATGAAGATTGAGACAGACTATTTGTGGTAAATCCTTGTTATGAAGTTTAGTGAGTTGGGTTGAAAAGTTGTAATATTTATCAATAAAACTGTATACTGTATACTGTACCTTGATTGACATGCTCTATCCATCTAAAATATTTTTAACTCTGCGACGCTGCCGCTTTCAAAAAAGTAACATGAACATTCAAATTATTAATTAAGTCTTTACAATTTATTTGTGAATTTTTGAATTTTTATCAAATTCCGACATAACATTTTACGTCAACGCGTCACTGAAACATCTGGAAGTGTTTCCTTCTTGTATGTTGGCACCCTTAAAGGAGTTTTTAAAAAATATTGCTTCCACTTTGTTAATGAAATCGTTAATTAGTGGGAACTGATCTCTTACTTCCTCGGAGATCCTATTGACTCCAGCGCAGTGAATTAAATTAGGATAAAAAACTTTGAAATCTGTTCCCCCTTTAACCATATATGTGGCCATCGCTAAGTATTAACAGAACTCTTTTGCGGAAATTAATAAAGGTTTTGTTGATAAATTTTCCGTCCGAATTAATAAATTAGCTATATAGGGTGTTCAAATAATGTTTTATAGTAATATATCTATACTATACGACTATAAGAGTTTTTTGGTTATGGTTCCTAAACAAGCGTGAGTTCGTAAAGGAATTTGTTTTTACATTATAAGAAAATTTTAGCACACCAACTTATAATTTCATATTTGAGGTTCGTTTTTCCACGATCTATAGCATATACCAGAGGCGACCAAGACGTAGACGAAGACATTTTAGGTAGTCCGCGCCAGGTACCAGTGCTAAGAGAAGTAAAACATACCATTATAACACTGAATGGAGAACGAGAAATGTATTCGTCTCATTTGTAACTCAAGTGTGGCATTACCAAAAAAAAACAAACGTCGAAAGGCTATAAAACCATGCACTTAAAATACGCTACAGAGTTTCCAATAAGCAGCGATCTTCGAAAGGTGCATGAATTAAAGTAGAATTTACATTTACAGCAAAGAAGAAGAACTGTTAAAAGAAGCTTTCTGTCAAACGGGAGAAGTGCTTTTCCACGATTTTATAAACAAACCTGAAATAGTATCACACCAATATTACTGACATTGCACAGTTATGCTTTTTGTACGAATGGCTTTCGAATACATAACTTCAAATAAAGCGATATCGACTATAATTCCATTGAAAGTACAAACGAGAGGCCAAGATATCCACACTTAAAATCTTTATTGATAATTTTTCATAGAAACTTCCACAGGTTATTGTAATAGTATTTACAAAACTTCTGGATTCCTCCTGTTCGCTTTTTTCATGGAGTATCATATTCAAATATTCTCTTTCGCTTCTTTTTTGATGTTAAAAATTGTTTTTTTACTAACATCACTCAGTTTTGAAGCGCCATCCACAACTGCACTTAAGCTCAACTGTTCATCACATAAGAGGAAATGATATTGAAAGGTTAATAAAATGCTGTCCATGCGACGTTTAAACACAGACAAGCTCGGTACACACACAACAACTTCGGGTAAACTGTTCCATTGTACGAATGTCCTGTTACTTATAAAATGCAGACGGTTTAATATCCTGAATTGTTATTTCCTTATCTTTCATGAATGACCGCATCATTTCTTAAGAACCCAAAAGGCGCGTCATGCGCGAACCTATACATTTGACTAAGATCCTCCTGCAGCTATGGGTTCCAAGATTGGGCGAATGATAAATGTTTGATAAATTTGCAGACCACGCAAGATCATTAATCACTATTACACATAGATCAACCTGAAGTGTAAAACCTTCTCTTCTGGAACAAATAAATGGTTTTCGCTGTTGATTTCGAGCAGATTATAGTCAAAACCTGCATTTTCATAATTTATCTGACTGCAATCCACTTTAAAACTGCAGATAACTACCTACTTAAAAACCTTGGACTAATAGTAGGTTTTTATTTCATTTTTTAAACAGATTCCAGTCAAAATCGGCTCCTCCGACACATATCGAACCTAAAACTGCATCAAAACTGCAGATATCAGCTCAAGCTATCATTTTTTGACACAAACAGCTCCATGTTCATCTCAATATCTTTGAAATGCTAGTCAGAAATTCTCATATTTAAGCATTATGGTAGAGAAAACCTTTATAAACTATTAGATATCGGAGTAAAACCCCCTTTCTAAGTTAAATAGTTGCCGATTTCGATAAGATCCCAGTCAGAATCTGCTTTTTCGACTGTTATCGTACCCAAATCTACGCTAGAAAAGCAGGTATGTATTTAAAACCTCTCTTTTTGGGACAAATAAATGGTTTTCGCTCTTGATTTCGAGCAGATTATAGTCAAAACCAGCATTTTCATAACTTATCGGTCTGAAATCCACTTTAAAACTGCAGATAACAACTTAAAAACCCACTTTCTAGGATTGGTAGTAGGCTTTTCTTCTATTTTTCAAACAGATTCCAGTCAAAATCGGCTCCTCCGGCGCATATCGAACCTAAAACCGCATCAAAACTGCAGATATCAGCTCAAACTATCGTTTTTTGATCCAAACAGTTACCTTTTGTTGTCAATATGTTTCAAACACTAGTCAAAATTGGTGTCTTACAGCATTATAGTAATGAAAACCGTTATATACCATTGATATCGACGTAAAAACGCTTTTCTGAGTCAAATAGTTGCCGATTTCGATAAGATCTTAGTCAGAATTTGCTTTTCCGCCTCTTATTGTACCCAAATCTACCTTAGAAATGCAGATATGTACTGAAAACCCCTCTTTTTGGGACAAATAATTGGTTTTCGCTCTTGATTTCGATCAGATTATAGTCAAAATCAGCATTTTCATAACTTTCCGCACTGAAATCCCCTTTAAAACTGCATATAAATACTTAAAAACCCACTTTCTTTAGTTGATAGCATAGGGGTTTCTTCCATTATTCAAACAGATTCCAGTCAAAATCGGCTCCTCCGACTCATAACGTACAAACAGTTACATATTCATGTCAATATCAAATACTAGTCAGAACCGGCGTCTTCGGGCATTATAGTAACGCAAACCTTTATAAACCATTAGATATTGACGTTAAACCCCCTTTCTGAGTCAAAAAGTTGCCAATTTGGATAAGATCCCTGTCAGAATCTGCTTTTTCGCCTCTTAGTGCACCCAAATCTACCCTAGAAAAGCAGATATGTATTTAAAACCCCTCTTTTTGGAACAAACAATTGGTTTTCGCCCTTGATTTCGAGCATGATACAAAATATGATACAAATACGTTTAAAATAAAGTCCTGGTCATATTAGATCTCTCCCAAAGTATTTGTAATAACAGTGAGAAATACCCCATACGATACACGATATCTGATGTAGAAATAAAACGCTTTAGAGCGATTAAGTAGATTCTCCACGAATAAAGTATTAGAAACTCATCTGTTCAGATCAATATCGGCAGTAAAGGCTTTGAATCTATGCCATAGAGTTTTCTTATGTTTTATTTGTCTAAAGAGTTATCTAGTTGTCTTAGAGGCTTTTCAGAATTGAATTTTGCAAAATGAGTTTTCGAGCTTATGCCTATGTAATAATCAAGGGTAGATAGAAAATGTGTCAGTGTTAATAACGTCGTTATCAGGAACGAACGAACGAAAGGTTTGCAGCTAAGTTTCTGAAATCTGTTCTCCACACCATTTTGCGATTATTAACCGGCTTAGCGTAATTTAAGGCTTTAATACAAAAACTAACAACAGCATGATCAAATTTGCTAACTGAGTAAACAAGCTCCAATTTGTATTATAAGCCATTTTGACGACTCATTTCAGTCATTACTTCCTCATTAAACTTACTAAAACTAATCTAACATATTCTACAAACAAATTCAAAACATGTTTATGATTAATCCATTTAATGTGTGTATTATATGTATTTAAAATGGTGTTATCTGCAGGAAACGTAGGTATCTTTAGGGCTGAACCGACTCTGGGACTGCTATACGATTTTCGGCAACTCTGTGCTGCTCTATCCTATTTAAAATGCATACCCCTTTTTTGTTTTTTGTTCCCTTGTATGTAGCACGGTAAAATTTGGCATGCAAGTATATAATTAAAATGTCTAATTTTTTACATAAAATCAATATCTCAAAATGTAAAAATGCCAGCAGGGCGCTATTTTAAGTTTTATGATGAAACTATTTGTTTTTTTAAATCACGCTTAAATAATAGAAAAGCAATAACACACTTTTAAGCATTCGTTTGACTGTCTTGCAAAAACTGACGAATCAAATATTTTCATAATTGGTATGCGAATAGAAAGTAATTGAACCCTCTTACCATTAAAAAAAATACTTAACATGCTATCATTGTCATTTTGAGATATTGTTTTTATGTCAAAAAATAGACATATTAATTATATACGCGTATGCCAAATTTCAATTGTGCTATATACAAGGGTACAAAAAATGGTCCCATCATTTACGGGGGCACTGTATATTTTAATTCGTCAATTATAGCTTTATTTTCAAGAGCTGCGCTATCAGAAAGAAACGCTGTAACAAAATATCTAATTGTCATGGGTTGTTGTAGGGAACCTAGCCACGTCCGTTCAATTGATTAGGGCAATTTATTATGCAGACAGGGTTCCACGCTATAAAGCTGGGAATGTTGTGACCAAAAGACAATTATTTTCATAGCATACAGGTTGTCCTAATAACGCTAGGAGTATTGTTTTATATTTGTTAGTATGTGCTCATTAATATTGATATCTATTAAAAAAGTTAAATGCCTTTATTTTTTACTGGGCAAAGCTGTGATGGTTCCAAAATTAATTGTACTGTACGGTAGTGACGTGCGGAGCACCCTCTATTAACAATTGTCGGAGACGCAAAGAAGTGCGGAATAGTCAGTCCTTTTTGGGGGACGAACGGTGTTGACGTTTTCTAGGCAGTGGCTACCGGTGTACTATAGTCCAGTAATGTAATGAGTACAATCGCATAGGTATACAACTAATACTAACTGACAACTTGATAGAATACCAAGAACAATTATAATACCATATAAACAAATATAATACTGTTATATGCTTGAATGTACTAATTGAAAGAGCTGTACGTAAATTAAAAAATGGCGGAACGTCAGGCCCGCAAGGAATGTCAGCAGACTTATTAAATGCGGAAGAACACAAGTTTTTGAAACTTTCAACTGGTGTATAAATAAAGTTCTAAATGGTACCAAAACAGTGGAAGGTTCCCTACTTATCCATTTATAAAAAATTAAATAAACGGGAATGTAAATATCACAGGCGCATTTTGGTAACAAGCAAGTCTAGTCGCCTAAATGAAAAGATTCTTAGAGATGTAGTAAACTCAAAAGGCAGAAAATCAAAAAGAAGAAGAACAAGGTTTCAGAGCAGATAGACCTTGGGTTTGGCTTAAAACAAATAATAAAAAAAAGATCTAGCACCACAGCCGTCTTATAGATCTTGATATATGATACAAGTTATGGAAAGAAAGAATTTTTCCTTTGAACAAGGGTTTGACTCAACGTTGTTGGCTGTTTCCAACACGGTTTGAAATATTTAGTGAAATTTGGCATCCACGTATATAATTAAAATTTCTAATTTTTGAAATAAAAACAATATCTCAAAATGTCAAAATAACGGAAGGCGTTATTTAAAGTATTTTTTTTTATGTTTAGAAAGATCATGCGATACCTCTTTTCAAAGGTCTTTTCGCGTTCTACTCGAATACCAATTTGGAAAACATTTGATTCCTCAGTTTTTGTAAAAAAATAAATAGCTCCCTCATTTTATGAACTACTTTATTAAATGCTGGAAATTAGCATTTCGTGCATTTTGAAAATAAATTCGTTTCTAACATTACGCAACGTCTCTGGGGAATTATAGCATAAATTTTATTGTTTAATATCCAAAAAGAACAAAGTTCAGGGGTGTTAGGTCTGACGACCGACCATTCAACGTCTTTCTAATCCGATATTTAACCATTTCCTAACAGGTCTTCGACTTGACGCTGACAAAACGGTTAAATATTTGCTAATGCTATATTCACACGCAACCTTACAATAATAATTATTTAATTTTTGGTTTTGCAAAAACTGACGGATCAAATGTTCTCAGAATTAGTATGTGAATAGAACGTGAAAAGACCTTTAAAAAGAGGTATTACTCTTACCAATTGAAAAAATAACATAATTTAATTGTATACGTGCATACCAAATTTTACCGTGCTATATAGCACTGTGTGTAGCAAAAGCTCTAAATCCATGGAAAAGGGATGCAAGGGTACATTTAACTCCCTGTATTTACCTTAAACATCCTGTATTCTGCCAATTACTTAAAATAGTCGCTGGTTCCTACAAAGTATTCACAGCATTCTTAAAACCCATATCCATTTAGCACAGATTTTTTTTCAACCGGAGACTTCGGTCATTGATATCTGGATGGAAGGCTTTGAAAATTAAAATTCTAGGGTTGAACATTCCGTTTTTTGTTTACGTGTGTTTTTTTTTTTCATTATTATATTCGAGGCTGTAATTACCGTTCACCCAATTTATTGTAACAATCGACCTCCACCTTTCATTTAACATGCAACAATTCTGGGTTATTCGGTATTTTCTGGCGTATTCCACTTCAAATTTATGTATTGATCATTAATTCTTAATTAAAATTTATATGGTTGGTCAGTGCTAATATTTGTTTTTTCAAAAATCATTACTACAAATTTTCAAAATATTATGAGGCCGAATTGCCGAATTGAAGTAGATTTTAAAGAGTCGTACTCCTAAATCGGTAAATGCGAGGTTTGTCTTGTTTCACCGTACAAATTTCCATTGTTTCATAAATTAGTATGTATTTTGTTTTTTCACAGACAAGAAAAATGGCAATATCATACAAGGAACAGCGTCCGCAGTCGATGTAAAAACGAAGAAACCCATTTTCTCAGCCAAAGAAAAGAAACCGTCGAACAACGTTAAAGGTAAGCGATATTTTTGTATATTTATGTTTATATTTTGCAACTCGGATTAAAACTTTTTCCAGTTGCGTAATTTTGAGTTTAAACTGGAAAAAAGATATTTGATTCCTTTCAAGACGTATATCCCATGCCCATATAAAGCAATCCCATTGACTATAGCGATAATTATCTATATTAAAGTAATTTTAAGTAATAAGTAAAATTCAGTCTTTATTGTGGAGTTGTTTCAAGTTCCGCCCATCCGCCGATATGTCAAGAACTATATCAAATATTTCCAACAATCGTTTGTGAAATTAATTGAAATTCAGCTCGAAAAATAAAGTAATGATAAGCAAGCATATAATTAGCATTATGTTAGCATTTTTACTGGTTTACAAGATTTACAAGATCCAGACTGTATTAAATATAGGGAGCAAAACTTTTTAATCTTCATTTATATCATTATCATCATTTATATCATTAAAAAAATATATACAAAAATAGCTGATGTTTAGTTGTAGAGTTTTTCTAATAACTATTTTGTTGCACTTATAATAACGATTGAATATTTGTAAATTTAAAAGTCTATTAAAACCGTTAGAGAAATATCGTGCTACAAATATGACGCAAAAATAATGTTTTTATTTTCAAAACGAAAATAGATATTAAAATGGAAAATTGTAACAATGAGTGAAGGGAATTGAATTGGATCACCCCTATCATCCTTCTTAACCAAATATAAGAAAACTTATGAAATAATATTAAAAGATTATATTATGTTTTATTTAGAATCTTTTATCACCTGCAATTTTTCAAAGCACTAACCATTTCCAAATAAAAAATAGAATGAAAAAAATGTATGAGATAAAAATAATCCAGGCATTGGCAGCATATTAGGGACACAATGATGCCTTCGATAATTGAATGTATTGTATCAGAAAGCGAGCATTTTGAACAAATTACAATAAAAATTGTATTTTTGTTTTGCCTTAGGTTTGTTTGTTTGTTTGTTTGTATTTATTCATATGTTTATTACTTTTTAATTTAATTTGTCAGTTAAAATAATTTAGTTGGATGCTGTCGAACAGTTGTACTTTGTACTAACATTTATCAATTATTTATAATTTACTAATAAAACATTTCTGACACTAATTAATCTATTTGAGTAAACTACATAACATAAAATTTTAATGCAATTCCCATAATAAGCCGATGAATAAGAGAGACCCCAAAGGTAAAACAAAATTTTGATTTTCATCAATCAATGTGAAATTAAGCAATAATTTATTTGATTTATTGATTTGCATTTATTATTTTATTCGGGCACTGTAAATACTATCAATAAATTGCAAGCTACAATCAAAACAAAATATAAAATTAAAAAAAATATTTTATTGCATAAGTTTTCTAAAATTTAGTGCAGAATAATAGGGATGGTCCAATTCAAACCCTCAACTCATTTGGTATTTCTGTGATAGCAATATTTTAATCTTTTTATCTACTTTCGTTTTTAAGATAGATATAAAAACAGTATTTATCCGCCAGATCTACTTCCCTTTATTTTAAAGGAGGATTCAGCATCTTGAGTTTTTTGCATTTGTTGTGAAACAACCTATATATTTTATAGTCCCTTGGCCAGTGTTACATACTGCTTACATATTTAATAACTCATAGAGGATAATGGGTATTCGAAAATAAAAAAGTTAAGAACAAAGTAAGTCTTAAGCCGTTTGAAAAATAATTAAACTCATTAGCGGTACGTTTTTTGGAACACCGTGTACTCGAATCTTTCATTAATAATTCCGGACCGCCTTTTGGCTTTGGCGCTCCTGAAAATATGTCAAGCGAGACTGATTTTCATTGGCACCATTCCGTTTATTATATGTTTTTGTTTTCGAGAGGAAATATCGTACGGCCACAAACGCGGTTTTTTAAAGTAACGCTGGCAATAAAAATCCGTATGCGGTTTGCTTTGTAAATAAAATTAGAAATTGCCTATAAAGCCGTGCCTAAAGTGCCGTTTCCGGTTATGACGCGTTGTAACGCCGGTCCATTTGGAAAACATATGAATCAAATATTTTTATGCCTTCTTTTATATCCGTTACCGGTGGACGACTTTAGAACAGGACCACAATGAATGCGGCAGCGTATTTTTGTCGCTTTTCGACTTCGGTTTTCCTAAGAGGCCAAAGCAAAATTAAAATTTTAAACCGCCCTTACGGATAAGGCTTTTATTGAAAATAGAAGCGACTTTTATTTTCAACTGGACGCAGTGTTTTCTCAACCAAGAAGGTAAAATATACAATTAAATTAAAACAAAATATGTTCAGATTTTCACGGTTGATTTTTGACAGCTGTTTCGGTACCTCCGTGCCTTTATTAAACACAAAATATGACAATGTTCTTACATCTATATACTGGGCGTTTTCTCATTTAACATCAATAATTTAGGGGGCGATGTTTGAAAGCATATGACCTAAACGTCTTAACTTTTGGTATACAGGATGGTAAAGTTTTCAAAAATAAAACATTTTTTTAATATCTTTAATACCACTCTAGATATTTTAATGAAACTTGGCACACACGCACTATATATCTAGAGTCGCTGATTTCTTTTAAAATAAAAACTATTAATCGAATCTTCTAAAGAAATTTAATTTCTTGATTTTTTTAATTTAATTAAATTGTTAATAAAATAAAAATCTCTTCTCTGCCTGGTCATAACAATATCGTTAATATGACAGCATGCATAGAATTACTATCATTATTATTTCTTAATGAAGTAATTGTCTATCTGTTTTATTCAAATACTTAAAAAAAAAACAAGTACGTACATTCTGAAATGTATGTTTGAAATATATATAATTATTTCTTATCATTGTAGTGGGCTGTATCTGTAATAATTATTAATTCTGTTGTTAAGGCAAGTGTTGACACCAGTTTCTTCACGTCATATTAATTTGGTGTTTGAAATATCCGAGCATAGTTATTTTAAAAAAGAATGGTGGAGTTTACTGAGGAGTTGGCAGATATGCATTTTATGTATGGTTTGGCAGATGGCAGTGCATCGGAAACTAGTCGATTCTATCAAGAGTGCTTTCCTAATAGTCATACCAGATAGGCTAACATTTTCAGATGTACATAGAGGGTTGACTGAAACAGGTACTTTGAGGGTAAATAATCGTATAAAGTGGGCCCATCGGACAGTAAGAACTTCAAAAATTGAAGAAGCAGTTTTAAATTATTTTGATGAAAATCCTGAACTTGGTGCTAGAAAAATTGGAAATAATCTGAATATCTTGCACGTCTTGGTTTGAAAACTTTTGCACGATTTTCTATTGTACCCATATCGTATTCAACGAGTTGAAGCATTACTTCCCAAAGATTTCTCTTGCGTGTTAATTTTTGTCAATGGTTTTTGGATAAAATTGTGCATTATCCCTTGTTTACCAAGAAATTCTATTTACAGATGTCAGATCAGAAATGTCCACAATAACCATATTTGGACCGATAAAAACCCCCATGCAATTGTAGAATTTAAACATCAAGAATAGTTTTCGGTAAATGTTTGGGCTGGAATTGTTGGAAATTGCATTATTTTTCCTACCCGAAAGGCTAAACGGCTATAATTATCGCTGATTTTTACAAGAGGATTTGCCAATCTTGCTAGAAGAAGTACCATATTTAAATAGTAACAGAATGTGATTCATGCATGATTGCATTTCTGCTCACTTTAGTGTTGCAGTAAGAGCATATTTCAATCACACATTCAATAACCGATGGGTAAGTCGCAACGGACCTCAAACATGACCGCCTAGATCCCCAACATATAAGTCTGATTTATCGCAACCCAGTTAACACTGTAGAAAATCGGAAGGGTCGTATCAGAGCTTCCCGCGTTAAAAAAAAACATTGAAGGTATACTTCAAAGAGTATGCAATAATATGGGAAAAGGAGCAGAAGCGCGTATGTTTCAAGATCGAGGACACTTTCAACAACTTATCTGGTTGCTATGTCCTACTTCTTTTCAAAAAGGTTGTTATTAATTTTTAGATGGTGTTTTTCTTTTAAAATAAGAATCGTTCATTATTTATCTTGTTAAAATCTAATCTAATTAAAAACTAGGAACTGCATGACAAAAAAGAACTGTTTAGTTAAGTTTCACTTTATTTATTGCTGTTAATATATCCCAGCGACTTCGATACGCGCTCTAGCACGGTCTTTAAACGATTGGGCAGTATTCGCTCTAGCATTTTATGACTAACACTTTGAAGGACTTCTTTTATCCTCTGTTTCAATAGTCTATCTTTGTTAGATCAAGAGATCTAGGTGGTCATCTAATCGGACCACTCGTCCAAGGGTGTAGAAGTAAATTATTTAAGTAGTTTATGTTTTTATAGGCAAGATGTGCAGGAACTCATCATGAATGAACAACATTCTATGCCCCACTTCGATTAGAATACTTCTTAGCATATTTTGCAACCTTTGCTCAAAGATGAAGAATCCCAAATATTTAAAGGTCATTTGTCTTGACTGTGTATTATCAAAAAATTGGGTCTATTGCTAGAATAATAGTGTAAATTAGGCCTAGTAACACCTTTTTTATGGAATGTCGATTCATCTGTAAATAACACATATTCAAAAAAAACATCTTGCTCAAAAGTTTTTTCTTGTGCCCATTCACAAAATGTTGATCTAATTTGATAATCATTTTCATTGAGTTCTTGTTGAAGTGGTACATGTTGGTTTTCTGTGACACTGAGTAATACTTGAAATTCATTTTCCTTGTTCACTACAGTCTTGACTCTTTCGTTTTTTTCATATGCAACACTTCCATCCAGTTCGAGTAAAACGATTCATCAAATTCTCAAGAGTCCTTTTACAGGGCTGAATTTTATCGGGATACTGTTGCTTGTAAAAGGAAAACCAAATCTTTGTCCCACAAAGAGGGGTCTTAAGTTCATACCGACTTTGACTTTATTTGATCGAATTTGAAAAGAAAAGGTAACTATTAGGAACAGAAA